TACTAACATTATTTGGTCTTGTTTACTTTCATTATTTATAATTACTGAATAACAAATGACATGGAATTCGTTAACAAAGCATTATATAAACAATTTTCCACATCATGTGATCACCACAAAAATAGTGATAATCCTGCATATGAATATCACCATACAACAGTTACCATCTTTACTCTTCACAGTAAGTAGTAATATATGATAATACATTATAACGTCGCCACTAATTCCCTTGTCAGCTGAGTACATATCCACAAGTTAAATTAATTCATTTCCAATCTGATATTAACGAAAGATTCCCACGAAGTTCATTCATTTCCCGTCTCATTCTCCCTACCTCTTCCCTCGATCAGATGACTTTCATTTGGTTTTTTCTTAGTTGGCGTGCCCTTCCTGCCCCATCTGTTTTCAGGGGGTTTTTTGTGGGGTGTCCCTGTCATACGTTCGTCATCGATCTCGTCCTTCATCTTTCGCGGAGATTAGGCGTGCAGCATGATCGACAACCACCACACCAACAAGGATTCCATGTGCTATCGATCATCTCCGCTATCTTTTTTCTTCGAACAAAATCCACTTGCTGTGTTCATTCAGAATTCATTCCTAGACATCCAAACTTGCCTCTACTGTCGTGTGATGCTTATTTATTCCAAAATAGTCGAAAGTAGCCTATTGAGTGCGGTATATATGGCAAAGAACCGTTAGTTGTGGATCAACACCCATCTCTACTGTTCATTTTGAAGAACGACAGCTGTGGAGTTTGACTTTCAAGCAGGAGAGCATTTGGAGACTAGTTTCTGTAAATTTCAGGAAGTTCACATCCTTTTATTCTTCAGAAAATTCACATCCTTTTCTTCTTCTTCATTGTGTTACCAGTAAGTGACAGTGAACTGTTGTCCCATAACCTCCTCCGCATTCCTAAAATCTTTTTCACGAAGTATGATTCATAAGGATGGCTCTTTCTGTTTGATAAAGGAAAATATTAGGGTGTAAAGGTGAATAACGAGCAGTAAGTCCCTCGAACATATTCTGGTTTTTAAATGATATCGATTTAATTAAAGGATTAGGAGGATTTCCATGAGCATTGTTCTCTCTGTCCTCCTCATCAGAGCGGAAATATGAGTTTTGCTGTTATCGAAAAGTCTTTTTTTTGAACAATAGCGAAAACTTATAAAAAAAAAAGTTGACGACTAAAGATTCGAGTGGAAATTTTATGTTTCAATTTCATTTCATTTCATTTTTTTTTCAATTTCTCTTCATTTCGATAGGAACACCACCTCCAGTCCAGTCTCCTACACTTCACTTAGGTAGGAATGCTCATACTGCACGAGATCATCATCGAGAGATGATGTGTTTCAAAAATCTCTCAGGGTAGGCCACGCATCTAGATGCCATTCAGCATCATTTCTTTATTTGTATGAATGGAGGCAGTCGTTATTCTTACTACATATTTAAAATAAAATTCGCACTGACTAATCAGAGCTAACTTAATGGAAATTTTGTTGTCCGCTAAGCAAGTTCGCACAAATTTGGAGGTATCTAGCTTGAGTGAAATAGCGGTAGTCACGGTGCAGAGTAGTGCAAGAATGGAGAAGAAAGCGCTGAAATCTGTGGGCTTCAGGAATATAATGCTTCAAAGAAGTTGTAAGGGGTATTGTACAATATCATATACATACGTCTCTGTAAACGTCTGGTGTCTTCGACATAAGTGTACTGCCCGTCGCCGTAATAACCCTTCATTGTGAATAATGCAGCCTTAATAGGGCCGTCGTAACACGGCCTTTTTTGGGTGTGTACGCCGGCGAAGCCGCTTTTGGAGCCCCTATAACGCCATGACGAAGTCGTTTTTTGATCCAACAATGTCCCAAGTGTTATCATTGTGGGCCATAAGTTCCCCCCTGGGGGGAAACCTCAGAAACTATTTATGTTGTGATCAATGCCTCTAGCCATTTTTTGAGCCATAGTAGTTCTGACTTTTTTGTGCCCATTGCACCATATCAAATCTGTTGTACTACGCAGCTCTGCTAACTTTTCTCTTTTTCTTGTTGTTAATCCCTCTAAGCCGGTTGTTGTGGGTTTCTTATTAGACGTCGCTGATCCTCTTCGGCTCTGTTGAGCTCCCCTCGATTTTAGTCTTATCATTTTTACGATGTTTTTGCCTTTTTCCTCTATCCACATCATTGTGTATAGTGTTAGTCCAGGTTCAGAAAGTTCAGGTTAGCATCATCCAAATGGATTCGAGGTTGAATACCTTCTAGCCTTTCAAATCAGCATCTCAATGCTAATATAACAATCTAAAAGAATTAAGGATAAAGCCTCAGGCATGTATCACCCTCCCTTTAGAATGCGCCTCTTCATTCGACTTCCAATCAGAATCGTAGGACCCCGGACCACTGGGGCCGTAAGGTATGCTCCCTCGAACAGGGGAGGGTCCCCTTCCCGGTAANGTATGCTCTCGGGGAGAGCAGAGAGATAGATGCTTCCGGGGAGAGCAGAAAGAGAGAGACCCGAATTGGCGCGTCCCAGCCCCGAACAGGAGAGCATACCTTACGGCCCCTGGTGTGCTAGTGCGCCACTAGACCCTGGGGCAACCATATCATATCATTCCGTTCGATTTTCAGAACTGTCCAAAAGGATTGGAAAGGCAGCCTGAGTTGACGTTTGCGAAAAGCCATAATCAAAAGTGAAGTCCGAATCAAGTACTCCTCGTACATTTCCACCCAGATGTGGATGACATTCGAGCTTGTAGTGGTTTTTCAGATCATTTAACATTGTGCCTTCGATTGCTCGTTCTCCATTCTCTTCTTCTAAGCTCTACAAATCTTCCAAGTTTTTTTTGTCAAACCTTTTGTAATTTGCCCAAAGATTTTAGTTCTTTTCACATCAGGCCATGTACCTAATCCCCTGTTTCTCTTGAATTTAAGGGAACTGGGGAGTGAGTTTCAGCAACGGTGGTAAATCCTGGGAAAGCACATGGGATATGGATGTGGGCAAGTTATAGAAACATATATAATCCAAGAATTACACCAAAGCTGTGGGTAACTGATTTCGAACCTTGAAATTAGACTGACTCGAATTTCAAAAATCTTCAGCTCTTATTACCCCCAACATTTTGCAAAGCACCTGCTTCATAGGGGATAACACATTTCTCAGGATACCCAGGCTCATAGCAACTGCCAATGCAAACCTGCTGCTATGGCATATATGGGACTCCCATGGCCGTCTTAATTATGAAACTTGGGTTCTGCCTGAAGTTAATGTAATAAGTCTATTGTATTAGCAAAGTTTCCATTCGGATCGTGCTCAGTTGAAAGAGTTTCTGGAAGTTCCATCGATCTGACCATGGAAAGATTGGGCGTTTCTTGTTGAATATGCCATTTATTATGTGCCATTTCTGCATGCTGTCTACATTTCACTCTTATAGATATTCCGTGGAAGCATAGAGCCTATCCCGAATGAATCAGGGGTTCTAATAAGGGAGATGACTTTTATTTCTTACGATCAAATCATCTTCCTTGATCGGTATTCATGTTTTGTTCTTTTGTATCGTGAAATTTCTGCGATGAAATTGAGCGCTCCTATGGAAATTTTGTGTCAGCTTCTGCTGTTGAAGCCAAGCGTTAAATAGGGCTTCCCTATTCCTCTGCATGATCCTTCCTCATACGACTTGCCAATGTCCCCATCGAAAGAGCAGGAGGGGACAGGCGATTTTAATGGGGAAGTACACACCGAGAAACAGTGGGCCTTTTCTCCTTTTCTCTACACTGTGACAAGGTCACTGGTGATTGTTTCTTACAGCCCTCTTTCGAAA